ATCTGAGTGCTTGAGATCTCACAAAATGTATTCTCCTGTAAATTTCAATTAAATTAAGCGTCATTCATTCAAAGAAAATCACATCAATACTAAATAGTCAGTCATCAATGTTCGCTTCACGGTTCAAATTTGTGAAAGTCTCTTGTAGTGAATGGGATATGACCGTGCAATATTTTTTTTAATGCGATGCTGGAAAACCCACAACTGCAACTGCTAGAAAGCTGCAACGTTGCGGTATCACACTATTACGATGTTGTGAAGTGGGATCCAGATTCGTTACGCAACGGAGTTCCTTTAAATTTTTTTGCTCTTTCGCTGCATATCTACCCTGCTTTCAACAACGTTAACTATTGAGCTAAGGTAACTATCAAGGCTCCTACAAACATTTGGCAATATTATGAAAATGAGAAACTTCTTTATCTTGATTGATTTTGAGAAGAAAATAAAACGAATTATTACCTTTCAAATTTTATTTTTCAACAAAGTATTTACTGTATGTATTAAGAAAAAATTGTAAACAAGAGGGTGATAAAATCGATTAGATATATATTTCAAGGACAGTATATACAAGAAAATATTTTAATAGGAGAATGATTCGTACTTGTGATTTATAGTTCTTACATAGAATCAATAATGAATGAAGATGGGAAATATTAACGAACAATTGAGTTACACAAGTACTTACATTATATATAGGTATTACGAAAAACAGATACAGTATAAAATTTATTGCTTTCAAGACAGAGTTTAACAGAGTTCTAGGAGTTCATTTTAATTCTAAGCTATCATTTATTCAACAGTGTGCAACTATAACACGGCATTTTCGAAAAATAGAATAGATGTTGGACCCTCATAATTTACCGAGCTACTTCCTAAAAAATTAAGAACGAAAAATGACAATATTTTTGTATCTAGTGAAATCCAACCGACATAAAAACTGATTTATCAAGGGTTCAACTGATGAGATGGTGATAATCACTCATTTTGCTGAACTAATTTCATGTATCATGCGAAAATAAAATGAATGTAACTTGGTGAAATATTTCGCCATAAACAAACTCGTTAAAACTTCATAGTAAATATATTCAAAATGTCGTTGGGTGAGTTCTTCAGGGATATAGAAATTGAAAACAAAAATTATTTGTATTGTTAATCTATTGATGCTTCCCGAAATTTCTTCAATTCTTTTACTAATCGACAGAGCCAGATACACTGTTACGCTTCCGATGTACAAACCTAGCAAACGAACAGTGAAAGCAACGGTTCTTGTTCATCTTTGGTGAACATGATTTGTGTTTTTCTAAAGAGTAGAATGTATGACGTTTATAATGGGACTTGAAACAGCTCTGCTGGCATTGTTCATCATCGCAACGCTTTTAGGCTCTGGTATATCTAGCAGAAGCCTGAAGAAATTTAAGGAGAATTCGAACTTCACTTCATTGATGAAAACTATGGAATATATCTTTAAAATTCCATATTTCCTAATTGAAATTTGTTTATTTTTAAGAGAAATTTATGTTGTGTGAATACTCGCATTTCTCTTTCTGTGGAAGGCTTTCCACTTTGGAGTTTGTTTTTTAAAGACGAAACATATGAATATTATAACGAAACTGAATATTTGCGGTCAATCATGAAACCAATGTCAGCAATCAAATCACTAAATTTGTATTTTGTTTTCATACAATTTCAAAACAGTAGACAAAAACACTTCGATTGAGCATTCTAGGTATGAATTGCAATTGACATTATTTGAATAAGGAATATGTTCATAAGTGAATCCTCGATAAATTCACAAATATGTTGAAAAACCCATTATGATCTGTTAAGAATTGATTAAATAGGCTAACGCTTCGAGGAATTTCTTGATACGAAAATTGCAGGCTTTGTTAAGCAGAAGAAGAATAACTTAAAATATTCGGAAATATTTGTCCGTTTAGACATGCCTCTACATATGCTGTATAATATATACTTTTCTACTAATTTTCATAATGTACTAATCAATCGTAATGATTATCTCTCACTAAACTATTGTTGTTTTGTAGAATACGAAGTTATTTCCACTACCAATTCAGATGATAGAAGATACCTGCCTAGATTTACGTAGGTTGGTCATTTCAATGTTATGTCTAATATTTACATTTCATTTCATTTATTACCGTTTTCTTTGATAGGCATATCAACTCAAATCAGAACATTTCGGAATTAGATATGTCAGTTCATTTTATATTTTCAATAAAATATTTGACGCCTTCAAGAAAAGAATTGAACCATGCATGTTGCCTTTTTCTCAAACAAACCGAACAACAAAAAGTAGCCTTAGGATAATAATTATTGAAACGAATAAATATACTATGACGCAATTCTAATGCAATAATCGATCACTCAATTGATATTCTATTTAGAAAATACTCTGTGTTATTTTGGATTATTCAACTTTGGAGTGAACCTTTTTTCAAGTAAACAACTATGAACGCATTAATGTGTTTTCATTCAATGGTTGAAATTGGCAATAAAATGGCAATGAAGATAGGTATCAGATTATAAGAAGTAACTGTCATTTAGTGAATTATTTTCATTATACCAGTTTCAAATCAAGTTTTTTCTATAAAGTGCTCATATTACCAACCTGTTTTTACCAGATGACCTATACCTTATAAATCTTCGAGAGACGTCCAAAATATAGACACTGCCAGTACTATTTGACCTCAGATAGCGAATGAGTTCAACTAGATATGTCATAAATATTCATAACCGACTAGTACTTAAATAATTTCATACCACCTGAATACACTCACATATATGCATCAGTTATAGAAAAGAGAATAGAGCGAGATACATGAAAAATAGGGTTTCTCTTCGAGGCACAAATAAATTAAAAGGATTTGCTTATATCCGCAACTGATTATCGATTCCCAAACCGTGGAGTAAGTGAGCCAAAAATGAAATTCGTGACTGAAATATTTCTGTAAGATTTGGAAGTATCACAACAACTAAGTTAACAAAATAATTGATTTTCAATTTTGTTCAACGATATTTCGCAGATATAATGAATATTTGTTTCTTCCGGTGAAAACTATGACGAAGAACTATGCCATGTTAATTAGGCTCCAAATTGGGATCGAACAAATTCGGTACTCCTCTCGAAGGGGGATATTTTCATCTATAAAACTTATCGCTATGGATTTAGTAGAGAGACTGCAGTGACAACACCAATGTCTGGATACTATAAGTTATCACAACAGTACCAGGGATTAGGAGAACATTCGCAAGGCAGCGTTATGCAGGTGAAAATGGAAATTTATGAGAAATGAATGGAGGCAAAACCACATGGGATGAACTCACTGAATGAAAGTGAATGTTTGGTTTATGTGCTGTCTTTCAATGAAGGGAATTCCTGTGATAGACCGAAATTTCAAAGATACCGTCCTGATAATTCATAAGGAGTTCCTTTGTCAATAACTTCAATCTTTTGGATCGAGCAGAAGTCAGATGTCTGATGAGCTGTTCTTATTCCCCATAGTGTAGAACGGTTCCACTGTTCCACTGCACTCGAGGATGAAAGGAGGGCCATGGCTTCCAGCCGACTCATTACTCTTTCTTGCAATGACTCTATGATGAAAATAAATGTGATAGAGACTTTCATTCAGAAAATTTTGTTGATATAGAATATGCATGTGACGTGAATATATCTCCAAACTATATTTTTCAACTCTTTAGTACAATAAATCATTATTTTCAAAGAGATAATGAAGTGTCTCTGTATATATTTGCATTTCAGATGATATTGCATTTTGAATGTCTAGGAATTTCTATCAACGTTCAAAAATAGCAGAACTCCAAACATCAGAAGTATTTCCTGATTTTTTTCCTATGACCAACCTCTGAAGATCAAGCTGGATACGTCACTGATCCACGGGTTGTTCATCTTGTCTACAAGTTCTACTTGTCGATGTACCTACTGCTACTGTTCACCGAAATGCAGGAATATATGGCTTTTTACCCATCTCTCCGTATATTACATATTAGAGATAAAAGACGCATGTTATTTTTTTCCGTTTTATATTACTATAATGTAATACTTTGGGGAAGAAAAGTTTTGGTTTTCTATTTTCCAAGGAAGAAAACAATCAATTTGAAAAAATTAACTCTATACTAAGATGTGTAGATCATGCAAAAAAAGAAATATTCAGACACAAACTGGAAAAAGCCCTCTCTAAACAACTATTTTCATATAAAGCAAAATCCTTTCGAAACAAATAATTTTATATTAACATTGAATTGTACAAAAAACACTTTTCCCTATTCTTATTTTGATCAGTTGTTCGATCGTGTGAAGAAGACAAAATACCCTGTCTTTTCCTTTTGTATCCCTAGAAATGAACTTTTAAGGAAAAATGATGTGGAATTTATTCAGATATTTGTTGACTTTTCACCATGAAAACAGAATATCCTTTTCTCATTGGCGCTTTTTATTAACACGCTTTTATTAGCTTCACTTGTATGTATTGATGTATGTTTGTTTGTTTGTAACTCTCAAGCTCGGGATCTGTATTTGATAGAATTATCGACCTGACCTAACCTCCGTGATATAATTCGAACACACTTTACATGTATTTGAAAAAAGTATTTTTTTATCAACACGCGCGCCCACTGCCATATTTGCAACCCTCCTTTGCGCGCCTGCTGCCTTCGGCTTGGTAGCTGATTGTCAGGCTCCCCCTCCGTAATCGGAAAATATCAATGGTCATTTTTTCAAACAATATATGGCTGATGGATCCCAAAGTTGAGATAAAATAAATATAGTTTAGAAAGACTAAAAACCACGCTTTTATAGCATACGAAACTGAAAAATGAAAAATAAATTGAGTTTAAAAAACTAGGAAACAAGCTTTTAAAGAACATTGAAATAAAAAGTTGAAAATATTTTTTTAATAAGCTTAAAAAAACGAACGAAAATACTAGTATTATTGTGAAAAATGCGTGGGCGCTTTGTGCCATATTTTTTGTATATCAAGCGCCCGTCGCTTTTTTCACAATAATACTAGTACTTTCCGTTCGTTATTACTTTAAGCTTATTACAAAAAATGTTTTTAACTTTTTAGTTCGATGTTTTTTAAAAGCGTGTTTTTTAGTTTTTTAAACTGTATTCATTATTTCCTAAATTGAGTGGCAAACATGTTGGTAATTCTTTTTATGTGGTGTCAAATGTCATTTCTTACTAATATATTTCATTAAATACATTATGAAATAAAATTTGATGAATTTGTAACGCATATAAACAGTGCTTTTATGAAATATTGATAAAATATAGTCAGAGGAAGCGTGATTGAATTTGCATGTATCAGTTATTGTACTTATCGCGTGAGTACAATATTGATTGAAACAATTTCATCTTCTGTGTATTGTGGAATTGATTTCCTGAGTACATATCGACACTTATTCCGATACCGATTTTCGATAATTTTCGACATTACAAGACGATTATTTCGTTTATATCAATCGTACATTTAAAATTTGGCACTTTCATCACTACATCCATGCTATTTGGATGTTTCAAAGCACTGTTTGAGTAAAAATTGTTGTTCATTTTTCAAATAGATTGAAACATTTTAATGGAAAACAGTTCTGAGTATTCGTAACTATAGAGGTTTGTAGAATCTAGCCCAAGTAATTCCTCAGTTCTGCTTTGTACTCCGGAGGTACGTTTGTAGAATCTAGTCCAAGTAATTCCTCAGTCCTGCTTTGTACTCCGGAGGTACTTGCTTACGAAAACAGTCATCCAGAAAGCTACCCATACTTTCATATAAATGTTTTTTCACTCCTCCGAGGCTATGATTTTCATCTGGATAAATCTGAAACCAAAAAAAAATATATTATTTTTGTTTAAGTATTGGAAATCGTTAATTATAACAGGTCATTAGGTTTGTGTTCCGTGTGTGCTCAGTTCATGAATACTAGTTGTCAATGAATCATTGATTCACATAAAATGACAATACATTTCGACCTGTAATTTTTTTAAAATGAATATTTACGAACACTCTCATATTTCATAAAAATCGCACATCGAAGAATGATAGTTCCTTAACCCCTAGCTCACATGAATTTATACTACTGATGATTGTCTTCTGTAAAGAAAAACATTTTGAACACACTCGCATTCACACATTCGCATAATTTACGTTTTCTAATGAATCAGTTAAATAAATATATTTAAAGGATGCCCATTGTTTACAGCAACGGTCTTGATAACACTTTTTTCAATATGCTCAATTAAAAAGTAATTAATTTATATCAGAGGAATGTTTCCAAAAATTACTTCACAAAGTGATTTGAAGTTGTATCTATACAAAATCAACGAGCAGGAACAGTCGCGGCATTTTTTACGAACCATTTTTTCTACGAAAAGATGGTGGATCTGTTTTGTCTATATCACCGAATCGCCTATGGGCTATCTGATTCCAACGGATACTTCCATCGATGATCTGATCACCGGGAGCGAAATGAAATTTCCATGTAATATATTTGGAGTAATCCGAAGGTTATGTGTGTCAACTGTGTACACAGAACAGAGGCCCTTGATTTGCCTAGGAGATGCAAAGGTGGAGATGAAGGTGTTATTTGTATAACCCAGAAGATGCGGAAGTGTTGCAAACCCGAATTTGAGAATGTTTTTCAATTTCAATTGTCATAGAATTCACGAGGATTACGAAGTTATTTATGATGCACTGTTTGGAACCTTTGGTGTAGTAATGAATATTACTGGAGTTTTTTCCCAACATCAAATCGTTATTTTTAAACCTCGACACGTGTTTCGATCACCAAGTGATCATCTTCAAAGAGGAAGATTAAAACTGTTTCAACTGTTTTAATCTTCCTCTTTGAAATCGTTATTTTTAACACCTCGACACGTGTTTCGATCACCAAGTGATCATGTTCAAAGAGGAAGATTAAAACTGTTTCAACTGTTTTAATCTTCCTCTTTGAAATCGTTATTTTTAACACCTCGACACGTGTTTCGATCACCAAGTGAGGAAGATTTTTAATCTTCCTCTTTGAAAATTATCACTTGGTGATCGAAACACGTGTCGAGATGTCAAAAATAACGATTTGGTGTTGTGAAAAAACTCCAGTACTATTAAAATTCAGTTATGATAATGATCAGTTCAACATATTTTCAAGAATATTTCAAAAGTTCCTCATTAGTCAATATTATTTCAAATGAACGACAATAAGTTTCAAAGAATTAGCCATTACATTTTGAGGTAGCAGTGTTCACATCTTGTCATCGATAGTAGTTGACTGAATAACAGATCGCAAGTCCATGCTGGTCTAGAGGGCATATGCCCTTTGCTGTAAGTCGTGCTTGTGAAAATCTTGGAAAAGTGGAAACAACACCTCTTTCCAAAGGTGATTATTCTTGTTCGACTTTCACAAAATTAGTTCTTTATATCAAAAAGCGTAATTTATTTTGTTATGTTGTATAAACTAGTTGGTGCATGGGCAGTAAACGCAATATAAACCCCCTACCCTAGAATCAGGGTAGAAGATAATTTATTCTTGTACGACATCGATTCCAAAGTAGTATGTGCATCGGGTGGCACCACACCGCTTCACTTTTTCATTGAATCATTTGTTTACTTAGGAAAAACGCGAGGAATAAGTTTTTTTCGAAGAAGAACTTTTCAAAAACTACGTTATTTCGCACAAATTGAATTTACATGTTCACTCTAACGATTCAAGATGAAAGTGTTAAGTGCTGAAAAAGCTCTTCCCAATCAAAATTTTTCAAGTGTGGTATCTTATTGTATTCGTCCTATAACTCCTTCGTTCTTGAAGTAAAATCCTGGCGGTAACAACAACCCGTTTCATGTTCAAGACAGATTATAATCAAATCTGAAGCAAATGATCTTTGAAAGTTCAAGCCAGTCTCAAATAGACCTACCTACACAGTAGGTTGAATGGACTGACGCCTATCAGAAAACGACTACTCCCCTGGCTAATACCACGAAGGGCGTTGGATTATATCCGACATCATCAGTGCAGGAATCTTCACAGAAAATTTCCTGCAGGTGCAATTGGCAATACAACTGAAAGAGCACGGGCACACTTGCAGACCTGTTTCGGGCTCATTAGCCACTCGTCAGTACAAGATAGTACTGACCTAAAGTCTATGCTAGTACAGCATTGACCTAAAGTCAATGATATTCCAAAATTTAAAACTGAAATTCTTTCAGAGTATTTCATTCCTCTTCCAAAGTTCGAGCGAACATCACAAAATGTCACTCCATCTAGTGGACGAGGTACTAACCAACTGCATATCCGTATTTGCCCGATTCCTCTGAATAAGGAAAAAAAAGTTTCTTATTAGTCAGTGGGCTATGCTTGAAGACTGGCAGTAAACAAATCTGAAGCAACTGAACTTTAAACGTTCAAGCCAGTCTCGATATACCTTCACAGTAGGTTCAATGGACTGACGCCTATCAGAAAACAACTACTCCCCTCACCTACTGTGTAGGTATATCGAGACTGGCTTCAACGTTTGAAGTTCATTACGTTTAAAGTTCATTTGCTTTAGATTTGTTTACTGTCAGTCTTCAAGCATAGCCCACTGACTAATAAGACAGATTATAATCCACCAATTACGTTCAAGTTATTGAATTATTCGTTTCTTAATTTCAGTTGGGAGGAATTGGCATTTTGTAATGGTCTCTGTATATTTCAATATCAACACAATATTTCAGAGGGCATCTTCTTCTTCCACCTTCGAGAGTGTCATCTCGTAGAATAAATATTCTTCTGATGAGATTTATTGACACTCATTATCGAATAATATGTGAGTTTGGGATAGAGTGTGGGATAATTGTTTGGAAATACTTTCTTTGGGGAAACGGAAAAGGCTTACCTATATATGATGATAGTTGTAATTTTTTTTCCACAATGAATACCTCAATTACAAATATCATTTGATTTGCTTCGCTGAAGCTTTAAATTTCCATTTTGTTTTCCAACATGTGAATAATTTCGAAGTTTGATTCAAAAACGGCAAGAGAATAAAGTGCTGAATAGGTGCTCATTAGATATTTATAGTTAGATTCCATAATGCCTATGGGGCTTATGGACCCAATAACCACCATGACTGATGTACTGAGTTCTTATAGTACGTTCTTCAATAAATGAGGGCGAGAGAATAAAATACTAATTATGTGATCACTAGACATTCATAGTACACCTAAATTCCATAATGCCTATGGGCTTATTATTTATTGATCTGAAAACCATTATGACTGATGGACTGAGTTCTTATAATACGTTCCTCAATGAATAAGGGCAAGAGAATGAAATACTAATTGAGTACTCATTAGATATTTATAGCAAATCTAGATTCCATAATTCCTATGGGGCTTATGGACCCGATAACCACCATGACTGATGTACTGAGTTCTTATAGTACGTTCCTCAATAAATGAAGGCAATAGAATAAAATGCTAATTAGGTGATCACTAGATATTCATAGTACACCTACGTTGTTAAGAAATAATCTGAAAATAACAATAAATGCTAATTAGGTGCTAACTAGATATTTAGCACTATGACTGATGAACTGAGTTCCAACATGACGTTCCCCAATAATGAAGGGCATGAGAATGCGTTCCTCAATGATGAAGGGCATGAGAATAAAGTGCTAATTAGGTGCTCATTAGCTTTTAACACAAACTTTACCGCTGCTTTACGCTGAACTCGTGTTTCCTCGTGTAACGCCATCTAGGACTCTAGACAGTAACTATTTCCTGTCCGATAGTTGTCAAACTGTACAATAGATGACGGTAAGCGTCAATGCGAAGCGAGAAGTTTCTAGTATCCATTCTTGAAAGTGCTAGGCCTGCCCGCTGCCTCATATATAAGCGCGGGCGCGATCCAGCCAGTAATGCCATTCGACAAGTGAATTTGGTTAGCAACTAGCTAGGTGAAGTACCTACTGTACGTGCGGTGGTGAATACTGTGGGTGAATACTGTGAGTGGTGTCATTAGCAAGTTTTTAATACTTGATTCTTTACTTCGGCATTTTTGAAGACAAAGTTATGTCGGAAGCAAAAAAGAAGAAACGGCAGTATAGCGCGGAATATATAAAATATGGATTTATTGAAAATTCCACTAATCCATCTTCGCGTATGTGCCTTCTTCTATGTGCATTTTCATATGAAACGATGAAACCCTCAAGGCTACAAGATCATTTGAATGAAATGCGTTCAGATAAAAAAGACAAAAGTGTGACTTATTTTCAAGAACTGAAAAAGAAACACTCAGCCCAGCCAACTGTGTCAAAACTTTTTTCAGCGGCTTCTAAGCAAGACGACGGACTCCTTGCACACTATTGGAGAGGAATTACTTTTACCGGCAATGAATTAAGTAGTAACTACTGTGCAGATATACGAAAAATTTCTTTGAGCAATAGTTCCGTGCAAAGACGAATATATGAAATGGATGAAAACATTAAAGAATTATTGTGCAACCATCTGAAGACTTCTAAATTCTCAATTCAGTTAGATAATTTCACTTCACCAACCAATGAAGCATTGGTTTATTAAAAATTAGAAAATATATCAAGAACTACTATTTGCCAGAAATTTAAAGACGGATACAAAAGGAGAAATGCTATATGATACACTGGAAAAATTTTGTGATCAGAAAGAAATTCCACCTGCTACGGATGGCGCTCCGGTTATGACAGGACGTCACAAAGGCTTCATAGCGTACTCAAGAGGCCGTAGGAGCACGTGACTAACATATTATTTGTCAACGATATTTTCATGTCTCTTCTTGCTTTACTCTATCTAGCCAAATTAATCAAAGA